AGTTAAGAGTATCTGCACATCGAGCTGCACTAGCCTACATTGCTTTCTTTTTGCTGATACGCTTCTTTTTATCGTCATTGAACGTTTCTTCCAGCAATAAATAGTGACCTACTAATCCGATTAACGTATCATAATGGCTCTATTCGTTCACCGTTTCCAATGTCTCCTCGATGTCGCTTACTAAGGCCGAGCAAAGCTCTCCAGCACGCCAGTTCTTATTAACGTACACGGTCTCTGACCTGATTCTCTATAACAATGGCTTTGATAGCCGCTGAAACACGCTCAGCTACGCTCGCCCGGACACCAGCAGAGTCTCCGTACTTGGCCGTAAACGACTTTTGAGCAATCGCTTCCCTCATGAGTTCCTTGTCATTCTCCTCCGTAAAGTGAAACACCATCTTGCTGGGATCTATTGTCAGGGAATGAGGTGACAACTAAATCTTACCCCTAGAGCCGCAAATATGAAGCAGTCCCAACATAAGATCCTGAAGAACGAGAACGGTTTGGCTAAAGTTAGAGTTGTCGATTTGTCAATTATACAAACAGCTCTCAGTCCATTTCAAACGGATACAGCTCTGCTAAAACCCTCTATTTTGGGAACGATATAATGTCTGTGTTGCCGTACCGTGACTAGAGTTGGGTAATCGACTGAATTGGATTGATCGTTGTGTCCCTTCTGTCCAATCCTATGAAATCGAAACCTGTCTCGATTATTCCGACTGGTTCGGATTGATTGATCGATCTGATCAGATCAGGCGGATATACACTTTCAAAGGAAAATGTCGAAACAGATATGAGAAACAATCGCCATAAAGAACAAAACAGGTTTATCAAGAACTTAGCTCGGTCAGCAACTCTCATAACTTCTGATTCTTGTCGGATCTTAAACATTTTAGTTTATAGACATACCACACAAATACTGTGAAGTAGAGAGAGAGAGAGAGTATCTGCCAATCAATCTATTGAGGACCCGAAGCCACTTCCGTGAGCTTCCACACCCCGGGCTCCAATTCACGTCGGAGGAATGACGCGCTCTACATGTAAACTCGGCGACTTAACATTGTCAAGCCACGCATTTTGTGACTCACAATGGTGTGACATGTCGAATCATCGAATGTATGGCTCGGAATGGGCGGCTCGACATGTAACAAAATGCTCAGCGGGTCACTTCTTGGAACCCAGGCAGCCTCCAGTTGTGCTAGGTGATACTCTTTTAACGTTTAATATCCACACGTTGCTATGGTGCTTCTTGC